GAAGGATTTAATTAGGTGGAAAACATCACAGTGTCTCTTCCACTGAGGGAGAGAGAAGCCCACATGTCCCAAAATCTCACTTTTTGGGCAGAACACATTTTCACAGCAGAGTGTTGCTACTGGTAGAGAAATAAAATTCCACACTACATTTACAGCGAGTAATAGCCTCGAATTCCCAGGCTCACACATTTCCCCATAAAACTTCAGATCACTGTACAACTGGACACATCTTTTCCAGCAGGTTGGGGACCTATAATGCAACACTAACAGAAGCTGTAAGTTTCCAGTATTTTCCTTTTTTCCTGCTCTGCAATGGCTGAACACCTGTTTAATGTGCCCACAGGCAATAATTAGGAAGCAATGACGCTGCTCTTGGTTAACGTTTCATTCCCTGCTCCAGCAGCACATTCCTATTAGCAATGACCTTCCAGTTGTAGAGGATGTGGTATTTACTAATTACCAAAACAGCAAAAAGATCCCAAATCCCTTTGAACTTTTACTTTTTAAAAATGAGAACGTGCTCATAAAGAGGACAGGCTTGCTAAAAAAAAAAAATCTATATTCTTCTGAGGTTTCACATCTGGTCTTCAACTGCTTTGTAGTGCTACTAATTAATAGCTGTTAATTAAGAAATGAAAGTGTTGCCATTAGTTGTTGGGAAGAAATGGAAACTTCTTCTGGCTCAATTCCTTGCTCTGAAGTTCAGTCCAGAGGTGATCTGGGTAGAGCCAATGGGACAAGAGAAATAACAGCTTAAGAAAGGGGCACTCAAAATCAGGGGTTTGATTTTCCCAAGCAAGGGATTTACTTGGTTTATTTGGTTATTGACCTTTTTATTATGTTACCCAGAGAGGCTGTGGCTGTCTCATCCTTGGAAGTGTCCAAGGCCAGGCTGGATGGGGCTTGGAGCAACCTGGGATGGTGGAAGGGGGAACCATGGCAGGGAGTGGAACAAGATAGTCCTTAAGGCTTTAAGGTCCCTTCCAACCCAAACCTTGCTGGGATTCTATGACTGTCTTTGCAGAGAAGCAGAAAACAGAATGAGATCAGCCAGCATCAAAAATCTGAATAAATGGTGGGATTTATCTCAGCCTGTTTGTGCAGCGATGCACAAACTCTCCCATGCCTTATTCTGGCATCCCTGCCCTCATCACCCTGCTGTGTCCTTGTTCTCCAGGCTGTCACAGCAGCTGGAGAGGGTGGAAGTGTCTTTGCCCACTGCTGACAAGCACCCCATGCATCCCTTTGGGCGCTGGTTCCTCCCTGTGCCATCAGTGCTTTGGAAAAGCAGCAGAATCCGACTGAGCGCCAACCACCCTGCGGGAGATGTGGGGAGAGGAGCAGCATCAGCAACGTCCTTCCCTGCAGCTGAAAGGTCAAGTGGGCTAAGGGTGGACCAGCCTTCTCCAATTAAATGTCCACACGTTGCAGCACTTTGATTCTTTTGGATTTTTGCCTGTTTTCTTCACACTTTGCGTTTTTGTGGAACAATGCTTGGCTTGGAAAACACTTTATTTATCAGGCACTGCTGCTGTCAGCTCTCCAAAGTCACCTTTAATATCCAAGAGAAGGACAGACAAGGGTCCACACTGCTAATGCAGTTAAAGTCCTTGGATCCAGAGGAAGATCCAGGCTGGAGCACAGGGATGGCCTGCAGCACCAGCCGGAATGTGGTAAGGGCAGGGAGGCTCTTGGCCAAGGGGGTGCTGGAGAGACATCTGTGGGAGCTGCAGTGGATCCATGTTCCCAGAAGACAGTTCCCTAGGAGCACTAGGCATGGATGGATCATCTGGCCCTCATTAACTAGGCTAATGGCCTGGGAGCCCCTGGGGTGCCATCTCCTCAAGCTGCTGGACCAGATCCTGCAGAGAATCCCGGAATCCCCCCAGTGCCACATCCACACCTCTTCTGAACACCTCCAGCGATGGTGGCTCCACCATTGCCTTGAGCAGTCTGGTCCAATGCCTGACTACCCTGTCACTGAAGAAATTTTCCCTAATATCCAACCTGAGCCTCCCCTGGCACAGCTGGAGGCTGTTCCCTCTCCTCCTGTCCCTTGTTCCCTGGGAGCAGAGCCCAATTCCCCCAGCTCCCCGCTCCTGTCAGGGACTTGCAGAGTCAGAAGGTCCCCACTGATGCTCCTCTGTTTCTAAGAGGAGGGATGTCCCAAAGCCTGCTTGGCCTTCAGCTTCCAGTCCCCACCAGAAGAGCTGACTGGTTCAGCTGATCCCTCTGCGATGTCCTTTGAGGTCCATCTCTCACAGTCCTTAGGAAGGAGCTGCATTTTATCACTCCCTCGTCATAAAACAACTGCTCCACTCTGTATTTTCTGGCTCTCATAGCCTCAGCTGCCCTTTCCTGTTTGATATGTACAGCACAGCAGCATCCAGAAGTCTCCAGTATAATTTACAATCCAAACAGAGAAGGTGGGGGGAAAAGAGACTCATTAATTTGCCCCAAGTTATGCAATAATGCAGAGTGAATAAACACAAATCTCTGACTGCACTTTAAGATAGGGATAATATCAATCAAAGCCTCCCTTGGTATGAAGAGGGCTGCAAGCAGAGCCCCAGTGGGCTGCTGTACTTCTGGCAGAGCTCAGAGCTGCCAGACCAACAGCTCAAGGCAGAGTGGCACTTTTATCTCCCTTTTTGCTCAGGCCATCTGGTCCCTCTCTCCTGTATTTTGTATTTATTTCTGATTTTGTAATACATGCTGCAGCTTTGCTCTGTCAAACTGTTCAACTGTGACCTTTTCCTAAATACACAGAAAGGAAGTTTGTAAAACAGCTCCAAAAACAATGCTGGAATCATCCAGATTATGATAATTAAACAAGCAAAGATCAATTCTAATCCACTCTAAAGTCACTAATTCTCAATCCTTCAGAAATTTGAGCATCCACATCCAACAGTTTATCATTTTGCTGTCATTTACCCTAAAGATATCCTATGTCAACTGAAAAATAAGGCACTGTGAAACCTGCCAGTCCCAGTTTGAATCACTTGTCAAGAAACCAAACACAAAGCGCAGTCTGCAGAGTGTGACAATTCCTGAAAACCTCAGGATTCAACACTAGTCCCTCTCCAGAATGTTTGAGAGGGTCTCAGAGCTGAACCAGAAAGTTCTGGGGTTGTTTCCACGTCATTTCTGACATTGAAGAAAACAAGTAACTGCCTTTGCTGCCCCCAAAAGTGGTTTTTTAAGACAGTGCACGTGGAAGAATTTCCCAGGAATGCAGCACTGCTATTCCTTTGGAAAGAGAAACGAGGCTGTTCAGCTAATCCTGAGGAGTTCACAAGGAGGAAAAGACACCATGGGTTACTCAGTTGTCATCTAAGGGTAGTAAGGGATACAAGACACTTCTTACTGCAAGGGTTTTTAAATGTACTGAAATAACATTCCCACCTCCTGGGATAAAACTGGAGCTCAGGAATCTGAGAATGCTTTGGATTGGAAGGGATCTTAAAGCTCAGGGACACCTTCCACTAGCCCAGGTTGCTCCAACCTGGCCTTGGACACTCCCAGGGATCCAGGGGCAGCCACAGCTTCTCTGGGCAACCTGTGCCAGGGCCTCCCACCCTCACAGCCAACAATTCCTTCATATATCCAACCTAAATTTCCCCTCTGTCAGTTTGAACCCATTCCCCCTTGTCCTGTCACTCCAGTTCCCAATGAACAGCCCCTCTCTGGCTTCCTTGTGACTCCTTCAGACCCTGGAAGGTGCTGTGAGGTCTCCACACAACCTTCTCCTCTCCAGGCTGAACATTCCCAGCTCTCCCAGCCTGTCTCCACAGGGGAGGTGCTCCAGCCCCCTCAGCAACTTGGTGGCCTCCTCTGGACTTGCTCCAACAGCAAGTTTGCTCCAGCAGCAACCTCCACGCCCTGACAGGTTTGAAATTACAGTCACAATGGACACATTTGTATTTGCTGCATTACCTAAATTACACTTCATACCTCTGAACATCCCCAGTAAATTATAGGGAACAACAGGAATAATCTCTCTCTCGAAAAGTCCTTCAGCAAAGGATTATAATCAAATGCAAAGTTTATCATTTTGCACTGTTCCTTTGGATTCTGTGTTTGTTTCAGGATTAAATACGAAATTAGGAGAGGTCTGGCAGTATTTTGCTATTTTTCATTTCTTAAAATTATGGCTTCAAAACACTAATGCTCTAATGATGAGGATAAACAGAATGTATATCATGAATTTTTGTCTGAACTCCTTAAAATAGCTGAGCAAGCCCCTCATTAGGGCCTTGTGAAGATCATTTACATTCAATTTCTGGGTTCTCATTTCCTTGGACTTGAAAATATCTGTACAAAGCCCAATATATTCCGATGCTGATTGTGTCACAACATTGGCATCCTGAGCACACAGTGCAACTCCTTGATATCCTGAGGCTGGTTGCAAGGACCCTATCCCTCACTCCCTATTATTCTACGGATGTCAAATTTATCACTTCATATCATTATACAGATGTCAAATTAATAAACACATTCTCTGTAACGGAACTTAACAAACTAATCAGCCTGTGCCCCATTTTTTTTGGTCGTTTTTTACTCAATTTTAAGACACTAAAGTTGAAGATATTAAATTGTCAGAGGGTAAACTTTATCAACTCATCCTCTGTAATAAGAGTAATCATCATCTGCACTTCTAACGTCGAAGAGGTCGAGTCTGACACACAAATGGTGCAGACGATCAAAACACGCTCCAAGAGGCCGGAGGAAAATTAACCACGAGCCCTGGTGATCCCAGTCACAATTCCAAGGCTCAACATTTGTTGTTTATCCCAGTGACCGACATGTTTATCCAAAGGACTGACATGTTCAGCACCTTCTGAGAGCATCATTTCGAGCAAGCCTTCCCTCACGATCCTTGTCACCTACAGCCCAGATCTTTCCAGCTGGAGACAACCTGTTAAGACCACAGTGTTTTCATAGCCCAGCATTCAAGAGGACCTACAAAATAGCAGTGAATAAATGAATAAGTGCTTTACCTGTATTCATCCTGTGTGAAGCGTGGGATGACCGAGGGCTGCAGCACAGCAATTTCTACCGTCGTGGTGTTGAACTTCACCGGGTCCCCGTCATCATATGCAATGACCACCAGCTGTTGACAACAGAGAAAACCACTCCCTGAGCAGAGACAAGGACATTTTTCACGTTGACCTGCAGCAACACCAGCACTTTCAGGGTCTAACAAATTGGCTGAGATTTTCTTTCACTGCAAATCATAACTTGTGTAAGAACAAAACACGGGGGAAACAGGTGACAGCGCCCACAGGTTGAACCCTCTGCTAGAAGATTTACAGGAACACAGTAAATTGGAATCCAAATAAAACTGTCTTCCACAAATACTCTCCAAAACACATAGCCAGCTTCAAGGACATTTCTCAGGGGGTTCCTTTCACATCTAATGAAAGCCCTTATTCAGAACTCCAGAAGCAATTTCAAATTTCATGGTGTAGAGAGGTCCATGTTTAGGCAATTTTTTATAGAAAAACCACTTATACAAGTTTTGGCAAAGGGGATGGAAAGTGCCTGGTGGGAAAGGCCCTGGGGGTGCTGGTGACAGTGGCTGGGCACTGCTGAGGGACCACGAGGGCTGTGCCCAGTGCTGGGCCCTCAACAGGAGAGACCCGGAGGGGCTGGAGCGTGTGCAGGGAAGGGAACGGAGCTGGGGAAGGGGCTGGAGCAGCAGGAGCGGCTGAGGGAGCTGGGGGGACTCAGCCTGGAGAAAAGGAGGCTCAGGGGGGACCTTCTGGCTCTGCAAGTCCCTGACAGGAGGGGGGAGCCGGGGGGGGTCGGGCTCTGCTGCCAGGGAACAAGGGACAGGAGGAGAGGGAACGGCCTCCAGCTGTGCCAGGGGAGGCTCAGGTTGGCCAGGAGGAGGAATTTGTTGCTGGAAAGGGTGGTGAGGCCTTGGCAGGGGCTGCCCAGGGAGGTTTGGAGTGCCCAGCCCTGGAGGTGTCCCAGGAAGGCCTGGCCGTGGCACTCAGTGCTCTGGGCTGGGGGACAAGGTGGGCATCGGGCACAGGGGGCACTCCATGGTTGTGGAGCTCTTTTCCAACCCAAATGATTCTGTGAGTCCATAACTCCCAAGAAAACAAACAGAGAAAGGGCTGGGTAAGAATTCTGTGGTGCTGACATCAATATCTAGAACCGAAGGCTTAGAGCAAAACAAAAAATGAACATTACTCTCCCCAACTCCCCCCAGAAAATACCCTCTTTAGGAAAGAGCTCCTCTGTATGCAAAAACATGGAAAAGACCAAATGAGCTTCTTCTAAGGGAGGCCTATTAGAACTATTTTGCTTTCTTGATCTTTGCTCTGTGCTTATCTGCTGGGACACACAGGTTCACTTGTTTTCAGCTTTCACACCAAGATATGAGATCTGCCAGTAAATGGATGTGACACCAGCCCACTGAAGTTGAAGCAATGGACAGTTTTGCAGTTTCCTCTGCCTAAATTTGTCCTTATTTCCAGAGATCACTCGGTGGAGCAGGTCAGTGCCTCACTCCAGCAGAGCGTTTTCGACTCGTTCCTGCCAGTCCAAGCTATTCCCACAACAGCTCAGTGATGAGACAGCTTAAAAGAAAAGAAGACAGGTTTTTTTTTCCCCCCAGTCAACGTACTGGGAACTCACCACTGCAAGATACCATAGTTACAGAGAGTATCAGGATGCTGAACAGGGATTGGAAAAATTCCCAGAGGATTCAGCAGCAGACACAAGCCCAATGGTCAAGATGCAAATAGCAACTCCAAGTCTTCTCGTCACTCATTTCTGGAGTCTTTCCTATGCTTCTTCCCTAAGGACCCATATTTTCTGTAAAATAATGCTCTGCTAAATTCACCATTTATAGAAATGGTGCTCTGTGTCCACGTGCACCTCACCTGGGATGGATCTCAGCTTTGGCAAACAGCTCCAAAATAGGTCCTGAGAAGTAAAAATAAGAAGTGCAGCCACAGAGGAGTGACACTCTGGTGATGTTAGCCAAGAGATAATCCTCTTCCCCCCTGAGATTTCCTCTGGTAGTTAGAAACTGAGGAAACATCAGCACTGTCCTAAGGTGCTCAGGCAGGGACAGCAGTAGGAGGCTGCTCCAGCTCAGGCAGTGCTTGATGGGACACTCAGGAGTGGAAAACAGTGGACAGCTTTATTCCTTGCAATGGAAAAGCGTACAAATAAACCTCACTTTAATCCTCATTTCAAAAATAAACAACTGGAGGAAGAAACAAACCACACCTTAATGACCACAGGGAAGGCTGGCAGTTCCAAAGCTGGGAATTACATATAAAGCCAGGATATCAAAGATAGTATTTTTTTTGCCTACTGACACAAATCTATTTTCATTTTTAACTACACCCTACACTGAAGGATCTTAGAGGGGAGATCTGTCCCAATGACTTTGATTCAAATCATACCTTACTCCACACTAACTACACTCCAGACTCTTCAGGGTCAGTAACAACACAATAGGAATTTAAGGCTCCTTAAAGTCAATATTTTTGCATTTAAGCCCTTGTGAACAGGAACTCCCAAACTATCCAACTGTGCAGTAGCTTTCTTTAAAGGATATCTTGCTATTCTTACAAAGTTCTCCCAAAATTTCTATTCAGACGGCCCTGATGAAAACGAACTTTGGAAAAATGAGTGTTCCCTTAGCTGTTTCCCTGTTCCTCCTTCCCTCCTAATCAGTGCAACCACATCCATTCAAGACATTCCTGAAGTCAGAATGGCACAAAACACATGCCAGGAGAAAAAAAAAACAAAACAAAATGAAATCAAGGAACAAACAAAATTGAAATTTCACATCTTCAGCCAACTGAAGGTTGGACTTGATGATCTGTGATGATCCCGTGATCTTTCTGTGTGATCCAAGGAAAAAGAGGAGAAACATGAAGGGGAAAGGAAATGCAGGGAGTATTTCCAGGCACTACAATGACACCAGTCTGTACCTTGAACACTGTGCTGGGCTCCTCATTGAGGTTCACTCGGGTCACGACACGTCCTGAGTTTTCCTCCACGTCAAAAATGCTGGCACTGTAAGGGAATTGGACAACATCCACTTTGTACCGGACCCGACTCGCTGGTGTGCCCTGGAAGGCAAAAACAAGGCAGCTGCAGCATTCCTGTGTTTTGACACAACTCATGAAATCACTCAAGGGTTAAAATGCAACGTTTTTAAGACCATCACTAATAAAACTTCTGTTTGTCTTCCTCATAACTTACCGAGCGATCCTCTGTCTCCCCCCAAAAGACCTTAAATTTTCCAGCAAGAAAAATAAAAATAACCAGAGGTTCGGAGAGAAAAGACCTGAAGCCTCCGCCCACTTAAACACAGAAACAGTGTCTGTCTTATAACAACTGAAATTGTTAAACAGAAGATGGGTAGAGCTTAAGGTTGCCTAAAATACCTTTCACAAATGATTTAACGTGTTACAAAACTCATTGGAAGTTCATGAAACTTAACAGGAATAACAGAAACTGCAGTTTTGCAAACGAATTTTAAGTAGCCCTGTAACGAACCCTCCTCACTCTTCAGACCCTGTTTCAGTGACAAGGAACAAGCAGAGGCAGCCCATGAGTGTGTCACAAACTGTCTGAAACACCAAATCCAAACGGGAATCAGAAGCAGCGTTGTCAGAGGGTACAATGGATGAACTTTTCAGATCAGTAACAGAGCATTTTCTGATTTAACTGTTTTAACACTACCTGCCTAAAGAAAACCGCCACTTATTGAGAAAAATGTAGTTTCTTAAGGTATCCATTATATTCCAATGATCCCATTCCAGCAGTCATCCTCCAGGCACCTCAGAGTCATAAGGCTGGAAAAACCTTTAAGGTCATTGAGTCCAACCACTAGCCCAGCCCTGCCAAGCCCACCAGCCCCAGGTGGTGGGGAAATTCTGAGCACTTCCAGGGATGGGACTCCACTACTTCCCTGACCAGCTTGTGCTAGGCCTTGACAACCCTTCCTGTGAAGAAATTTTCCCTAATATCCAATATAAACCTCTCCTGTCAGAGCTGGAGGCCGTTCCCTCTCCTCCTGTCCCTTGTTCCCTGGCAGCAGAGCCCGACCCCCCCCGGCTCCCCCCTCCTGTCAGGGACTTGCAGAGCCAGAAGGTCCCCCCTGAGCCTCCTTTTCTCCAGGCTGAGCCCCCCCAGCTCCCTCAGCCCCTCCTGCTGCTCCAGCCCCTTCCCCAGCTCCGTTCCCTTCCCTGCACACGCTCCAGCCCCTCTGGGTCTCTCTCATGTTACTGGACACAGCCCTGGAGGTGTCCCACTGTGCCCAGCACAGGGATGGGCACTGCCCTGGATCTGCTGGTACCCAATACATGATGGAGAATCCCCTTAGCCCTCTTCCTGTTGCTGATACAGAAACACTTTTTACTGTCCTTTATGGCAGTAGCCAGAGAGGTTCTAACATGGCTTTGGCCCTTTTCCTTCCACACCCCCAGGAACCCCCTGGAGCGTTTTCTCTCTTCCGTGTTGTATTTCCAGCAGACATCTGGTAAGTGGAAGTCCCAAAGAGAACAAGGACTTGCAATAGTGAGACTTTTCTCAGCTACTTGTAGAACATTTCATCTGCTTCTTCATCCTGGTTTAGAAGAGACTCCCCCCACGACATCAGTCCTTCCCCTGATTCTCTTCACACACCAATGTCTGAAGAACAATTTTTCAGCAGCCCAAAGTCTGTGTGTCCTGCAGACACTTGGGACATTTTACAGGACTCAAACTAAGTTATTTGCTAAATACATTGGGGAGTAGATTCACAACAGCACTTAGAAACTCATGTCCTATCATTGCCACGATTTCATGTTCTTAATGCCTCAGAGTCTGGATCTCAGATTGGGTTTCGACCTTTACAATGGATTTAAACAGCCAAAACATCAGAGCCCACGGTTTCATTAGTGGAGAATTAGTGATTTTCATCTGTATTCAATAATGTGCTACAAAGCAGCTTTGTTGTTATCCAGAATATATTCCATGTCAGCTACTAACTACAAGGAACCAGGGCATTTCCTTTTGTAAACAGCAACAGAAATGGCTCCAAAGTGCTTTAAGCTCACGAAATCCTATCGACATTTTGCTGATCTAACTAAAATCCTTTGACTGTTGCCTCTTGGAGCCCTCCAAGGAACTCCAGCCCAGACAAAGTTTTTCAGAATTACGGATAGGATTAAATCTAGAGGAGATTCAGAATTCCAGGGTAAAAAGCAGCTGCAGCTCCCTGGATGGACTGAGGTTGACCTGCTTCCCAATCCAATGATAAACATCTGCTCAGAGGAACAGATGGAGAGAGGAACAAACTCTGTGGCCTCCTCCATTGAAATTCCAGCAGAATGGGGGAATATTGTGGTACTGAGACCACACAGCACCTGTCTGCCAAGGGAATCAAGGTGTTCTGCTGCTGAAGTAAACAACCATATCACACCCCCTCTCAGGTACCAAGCTATGACCACCCCCCTCCCATTAAATATCCCAATCAGAAATAAAAGGTATTTATGACTAGAGCCACTCAAACTCCACCCAAACATAAAGAAAAGAGTATAAAAGTAAGTTGGGGAGAGGGGGAAACTGGGAGAAGACTCCACCATAACTGCTGGGGTCAGTCAAGGGGCTGAGCCCATCTTCCATAGGGACACCTTGGGTGAGAATTATACCCTAAATGCTGCTTTTAGGACTAGAGCTTGTGTTTGTGCTCAGCCCATGGCACGTGAGTAGACTGCTTTGTGTCAGAGCTTGTCCTGGCTTAATCTCCGTACCAGTAGATTGCTTTAAAACCTATTTTTGCAGTTAGAAACTCTCCCCGACAACCTTCCATCCTCACTAACCTGTCCCAGTCTGTGTCAATAAAGAGGGTTATTCCCTGAACTGCTCAGGGGAGTCCCTGCAGGCCTTGGCAGGGCCCACTGAGGGGTCTTGGCTCTGTTGAGCCCCCCTAAAAGGGTGATCGAGGTACTCTCTGAGCTTGGGAATCTGTCGGTGAAGGGTCTCCTTATGAGACACTGACTGACAGACTGGGGGACATCAGGGTCTGGACTCTCCCAGGGGCACCCACAGGCAAAAATCCAAACTCCCTCCTTTCACTGACAGGCAGAATCAGCACCTTTAATCATCCAGACCTGGGTCTGCCTGACGTGTTTGGGTGTTCAGCAAAGTAACACACGGAAGGTCACGTTAACAGTTAAAAGAACTTCACAGGCCCACGAGTGCTAAGAGTGCAAATCCTTGGAAATGTGAGAAATTCCCAAGATCACAGCATAACAGAGGCCATTATCAACTTTCCTGCTGGCATTCTCTGCTTCAGTCATTTTCTTCAACGTTGTAATTAAGAGCAAATTACCTGCTGAAATCCAGTCTATTTGGTCTCAGAGTAATGGCCCTCACATTGGCTTGGAAGACTAAGAGCTCTCATCATCATTAAACCTGCACACCTTGGGTAATTTGGTATTAAATAAACAAAACTCTCATCAGGTTATTGTTCCTGCTCTGACTATCAAGTACACTTTGCCCCTGCCATTGCTGAAAAATAACAAAACTGGGATTTATTTTTTATTTACGGTATTTTGGCACCGATGTAATTAGAACAATCTCCAGAGAGATTTCCCAGGGAAATCTCTTTAGAAGCAAGTTTTAATTATCTGAAATATTAATCATCTTTTGCCTCTGCTCTAAATTAATTTAGATACATTATTATGTCTGCAGCAAAACTTGAATAGAGCAGATCCTATTCCCAAATAAACCACGAAGCAAGGATTGTACTTGGCAGGAACCATGTTCATTCTCTTAAAGCAAAGTTTCCCTGAGAGTTCAAGACACAACACTTTAAAAAAGCTCATCTAACTTCAATTATTTCTTTTATGGTTTGTTATTCCATAAGTTTCCATTTGCTCTGGGGAAACAACATTCATTTGTGGTCCAGCTTGACAGGGACAAGCAGGGCCCCAATATTTAGGTTCGATGAAGAGGCTGCTCCTGGGAAAGGGGCCATGGATGAAGCACATGTGCACTGCCCAGATAACTCCCAACAGGCACAGAGAGGTTGCAGAGAAATTGTAATCCAATAAAGGGAGGAAAAAAAAAAAGAGAAAGTGAAACACAACAATTTCTGGGTGTTTTCAGGTGAATTTCTGCAAGCAACTCAAGAGGAAGCCAGGAATCGCTACTTCCACTCTCCAGGACAGGAAGGTTGGAGCCCCTCTGCTCTGGAGCCAGGCTGGGACAGCTGGAGGTGTTCACCTGGAGAAGAGAAGGATCCAGGGAGACCTGAGAGCCCCTTCCAGGGCCTAAAGGGGCTCCAGGAGAGCTGGAAGGGGACTTGGGACAAGGGGTGGAGGGACAGGACAAGAGGGAATGGCTTCCCACTGCCAGAGGGGAGGGTTAGATGGGAGATTGGGAAGGAATTGTTCCCTGTGAGGGTCGGGAGGCCCTGGCACAGGTTGCCCAGAGCAGCTGTGGCTGCCCCTGGATGCCTGGAAGTGTCCAAGGCCAGGTTGGACGGGGCTTGGAGCAACCTGGGCTAGTGGGAGGTGTCCCTGCCCATGGCAGGGGGTGGCACTGGATGATCATTAAGGTCCCTTCCAACCCCAACCATTCTGTGATTCCAGGGTTCAAATGGATAACACATACGAAACCAGAATGACTTGGCCCAGCAAAGAATGGGGAAAAAATGATTTTCACTTTCACTCATTTGCAGTCAGCTGGTGAAGATCCCGGATGTGTCTCTGGTCAGTGATGTGGATTTCATTCCCTGAATAAAGTCCAATTATGGGATGGCAGCATAATGAAAACAGAGCTGTCTACCAAGTCTCTCTGTACTCAATGCCTCTGTCTGACTGAAGTCAAAAAACTTCTGAGGCTATTACAGATAAAACGTGAACCTCGTGAGGAGAGTAATAAATTGGCTCCATCCACAGACTTCAAAACAAATCTGAGTGATTTGCATAAAGCAGAGTTCAATAAAGCAGATTTTGTAAAGTTAATTCTAGGAAAAAAGTTGGGAAGTGATGCTAAACCCAAAAGGTACAAGTTTTGTAACATGCTCAAAGTCCCCATGAGAGATGGGGCAGATGAGAGCAGCGGGATGACTTTG